TGTACACGCAAAATATTGTCGATGGGTTTGTTGCCTCGCCGAGCGAGCCGAGCGAGCAGCCCCCACGCCATATTCATTCTCCGTCTCGCTTCCTTCCTTCCTGCGAGACGCGCCTACGCGGCACGCGTCTCTCTCCCTCCCCTTTGGCGGCGGCGGCGGCCCTCAGTGGAAAGTATTCCAGCGTCGGTCGCATAGCCTCGCATGGCCCTGCTTAGCCGTGCCTCGCCGCGATCCGCATTCTTCCATGCATACTTGCCCTTGTGGGCCACCTCCTTTGTCTCTCCACCTCGATACCGACCGCAGCCGTTCCAACTTGACTTTGAGTTGTTTTTTTTTCCTTGTTGCAAAAAAAAGAAACAATTTTTTCTATGTGTTGCTGCGTCCTCCGCCTCCCACCGCCGACGAGACGCTGGACACGATTAACGTGTTTTTCCAGCGCAAACCGGAGCCGGCCGCAATAATGCCGAGGCCAGAGGCCCTGGAGGCCCTGGAGAACACGAGTCAGTTGACCGTGACGAAGGGCCGCGACGAAGGGCCTCGGCCGGCGGGGGCAAACACGGGGTGTTGACGCACGGCCTGCAGACGGATGCGCTGTGTCTCTCTCTCTCACCTATGCGGGACCCCCTATGAGTGCGAGAGAGACGGAGCGACGAAAACGACTCGTGGAATCGGCCTGCTGGCCGCCCATCGTCCGCGCGCGCCTAGATTGGCTCCCCCGTGGCTCACTTTGAACTTCCCCTTTTGTTGCAGATGGAGGACGAGGGCAACCACGGCAACGACGAGACGCGCTGCTTCATCCTGTCGACGCTGGCCGCGCACCAGCTCAACCGCACCGCCTGCCTGCTGTGCGGCGCCGCCATGGCCGTGTTCGACCGCTACCCGCTGGTGGACGGCACCTTCTTCCTCACGCCCCGCAAGCACTCGGCCGCCTGCCTCGCGGTGAGTAGACAGTCCAGCGGCGGTTCAAAGGACGGCCAGAGTGGCCGGCGAAGTGTGGTCTTTTGCGTGCGCTCCAAATTTGGAATGCCCTGAAACTGGGCGCGACTGCTCCACTTCTCAGGAGACAAATGGCGCCTAGTTTCGGGGCACCTTTGTTACCTGCACAGTAAAAAGTCTACGAAGAATCGCTTCGTAAAGGCATTCATTTTCTTCGTAGTAGTTATGAAGCAAGTGCTTCGTAGGCTTTTAAAAATTTCAGGGTTCACATATCATCAAGCAACTTGTCTTCTTCCATGGCTCGGCAGCGCCAAAGGTGTCCAGAATCTGGGCACCTTGGTCGCCCAGGAACCAGGCACCTGTGCATTCTCTCTCTCTCCATCATGGGAGAGGGCCAATTGTGGACCCTGAGACAAGGGTGACCTAGAAGGTTCCAAGGAACTAGAGCCTATGAAGTAGAGTAGGCGACAAAGGCGCCCATTTCCAGTGCATACCAAATTAGGACTGTACCTTTCAGACAGCTATCTATGGGCTAACAGGGAGTCGGGGCAACTAGAATCGCGAGGTCCTACTAGAAGTAGAGCGGGCAGGGCAGTCCGCTACCGCGGTGGTCAACCATGAAGCACACCGGACCCTGGCAGTGCGTGAGCGAGGAGGCATGCCGTCAAAGGCGTGCCTCGCCTCCTCCGGCCGCTGGCTGGACTCCCTCTCCGTCGCCTTCACAGGGATAGTAACGCGTGTAGAGAGACAGCCCGCTGGCGCGGCAGTCAATCCCGTGGGTCCCTTCTCGGAAAAAGGGGCAGGTATTTGCACGCGTCGCACCCTTGATCGTCTTGAGCCTTTGAGGAGGCCGGGCCGGCAGGGCGGGGCCGGCAGGGCGGGGCAGCCTCAATATCCGGTAGCCGTGACAATATCTCGCCGGGGTGCGCGGCGTGCCGAGCCGGGCCGCGAAACCGGCAGCCGGCTTGTCTAGAGGCCACGGCTTGTAGCGGCCCGCGGCACAGTGGGCCTCACTTCCTCATTAGCTTTGAGGGCCTCGTGGCTGCGTTGCTTCGGCGCTGCGCCTGGGTGCCGTGTGTGTGTGTGTGTGTGTGTGTGTGTGATGCTGCCCGCCCGCGCCAATTGACCGCAACCCCTCGGGGCCCTCCTGGGGCCCCACCGGGCCGAGCCAAGCCGCATACATCAACAGTGCCTTGCGGCGTGGCGCTGGAGGCCCCTTTTGGAGGGAGACGACTCGCGGTTCGGGCAGACCGTGAAGCTCCTTGACGACCGAGGGCGCCGAGGGCTGTGAGAACCTGCCTGACGGAGTCCTCAGGACTGCGCATCTGCGCACTCTTTTGTTTCTCGCGGTTTTTCATTTGCTTCAAATAGCGGGGCCTTGCGGCGGGACCGGCGCTCCAAAAGAGCAGAAACTCATTTCTTTTCTGTCTGTTTGCCTTCGGGCGCGCGGTTCGGCGGCCCGGCGGCCCGGCCATCCGCACCCCTTCTAAGGACCTGTTTGTTTCGAAAGGGAGGCAGAATAAACAGCGGGAGAAAAGATTGCGCGGGCACGCCACCGGAAGCACTCAGGAGTGGGTTGACACTGCTTACGTCGCGGTGCCACGGTGTCTGATCGCGGTGGTGGCGTTGTTGTTGCAGACCAAGGTGGACGGCCGCACGCAGTACCTGTCGGCGGTGTGCATGGGCTGCATGGAGAACAAGAAGGTGACCTGCCGGGCGTGCGCCGTGCCCTGGGACGGCACCTCCCTGGTGCTGGGCACCATGTACTCCTACGACATCTTCGCGGCCATGCCCTGCTGCCCGGAGCGCTACAAGGTGAGCGTCCTCGCCCGAGGCCTTTGCCCAGTGGGCCAGAAGACCGGTGGAGGCGGCCGAAATTCAATACGCGTTTTGACCTCCAGAATCGGTAAATGGCTAACCGAATGTGTGACCTCACCTATGGGTTGCTCTCCGAACGAGGAGTCCATTTGTTGGGCCACACGTTCAGTTCGAGTCCTGTTCAGCGACTCTAGAGCTCAAAACGCCGCCTCCTCCGGTCTTCTGGCCCACTGCACCCAGCCCTGCTCCACTGACCGTTCGTCCCACTGACCGTTGGTTTGCCCCGCAGTGCAACTCCTGCAAGAAGCCGCTGCTGTCGGCCTTCCAGCGCCTCAACTACTTCTCGGACTACAGCCAGGACGTGGCCTGCCCGCACTGCGGCGTGAGCGACCACCACTTCATCAAGAGCTTGACGGGTAGCTACCACCTGACCCCATAACATGAGGAGCCTCTGCACTCCTTCGGGGGTGCGGAGGACGCCGCGGACCTCGCGGCGCACTCGGACATACCCTTCAGGCCGCGCCTCAACGCGCAGATCGTCAAAAGCCCCTCCATGAGCGCCGACTCCCTGGCCGCCATCATGGCCACCTCTGGCACGGCCATCGCGGCTGCCTACCAGCCGCCGCCGAGTTCGGCATGCAGTGTGGGCAACACGCTGAACGAGCCGCCGCACAACTCCATCGTGACGAGCGCCAACCTGGGCCGGCCCCTGCTCTGGCTGGACGAGGACTTCCCCGTCAGCTACAACACGCCCCCTCCCCCTCTGCCCCCCAAGCGCCAAAGGGCCCCTCGCGCCATCCGCAAGACGGCGTACACGGCGGCCGCGGCGAGCGCGGCGAGCGCGGCGGACGCCAAGAAGCAGCGCCCCGCCGTCCCTGATCTCATGGCCATAGAGAAGTTCCTGGACAGCCCCCTGGCGGTGAGCCGCTACAACCCCGTGTCGTTCCTGGAGGACTTCGTCTTCGACAATGCGCCCTGCCACGACCTGCCGCACCCCAAGGAGCGCGTCGAACGCGTTGACCGCGTCGACCGCCACTGGCCGCCGCGGTCCGTGGACACGTCGCCGTCGTCCTCCGTGTCGGCCATCAGCCCCATCGGCTGCAGCTCGTTCTGGCCGCCGCCCAGCGCCGACCTCTCCAGCCCGGTGTGGTCGCCGCCGGCCGTCCAGGACCGCGCCAGCCCCACGTCGCTCGTCGACGTCTTCGAAAAGATGCGCCCCTTCAGTTTTTGCTAAATGCGTGTCGCCTGGTGAAGGTGCGGGTACCCGCCAGGTGCGCACTCACCGCCAGTACAACACAGAGTGTATGTTTGTTATTGTGTTTGGGAGCCGCTAGGCTGAGTCTTCATTGGTTATATTTGAATATATTTACTTTATGTATGCTTGTGATATTAGAAATGAGTTGGAATGGGAACTTTGTAACGTTTTCTGTTCTCTCTTCTTAAGACGGGGACTAAATAGTAACGCCTACGTAATATTAATCTTACTTCGTGTTACTTGTTAGAAACGGTAACTTTTAAACAAAATCTGAATTCTCTATGTAATCACTATAATACCGTCATTTTAACCTTTTAAAATCTATATATTGTCTGACTGTTGTGTGTGGTTGTTGAAAGGAGGATGGATGATTGAAGTGCACGTTCTATTCCAACGCTTTAGTTATTGTTTTCTGGCTTGTTGATGTTGTGAGACCTTATTACTGCTAAGTGGAGTTATGAATGATCTATGAAGTTACTTTTTACATAGTGAATAGTCTATTTCAAAGCTTTAGTACAAACTGGATGTATCGCGCCAGGGTCGTTGATGGTCTTGTCGCTGCGGCCCTCACTAAACACGCTGCAAATCACAGTCACAGGCTCGACAAGACTTTCCGCTAGTAGAGTGGGAAAAGCCTGCCCATGTTTCGACGCGCTTCGTTGAAGCAATCGGATTTAAAGGTACAAATTTTACTAGGAGTGAATTATTATATTTGAAGTTGGAACCTTTCATAGTGTTTACGGAAACTGGTTATGCACACATATTATTATCACATTCTTCCATAATCAATCGGTAAAATTTAATGGAGTTATTTGATAGATTTATAGAGTAATATGAAACGTTAATATGTCTATGAATCAGAGATGTCCTATTTACAGTTTAACTGACACCGGACGTACAAATTTTCCGTACTGTGAGTTTTCTCACTTGTACAAACCTCGCACATTACCTTTTGTTGCTGTGAGTTGACCGTTTTCTATCTGCCTCTTGTTATACAGTTTTTCAGGTACCTGTCCCTTGTGCGTTTAAAGTGCAGTCCTTTCTGTTTGTTAATTTAACTTGGGCCCAGTGTCGATCTAATCAATGTTGTCATTTTTCGCAGAAAGATTTGTTTTAAAATCTTTGGTTTGTTATTGTGTGCACCGTTGCTTGAATGTTACTTTTTATTCTTACGTTGTAGTGCATAGTAAGCATTTCGTCGTTGATAAAGAGATATAGTGTGATATGTTTAATCGTATTATCTTAAGAGATAAATTGTCAAAGTGTGTGATTGTGAAGGATTTGAAAATGAAAACTTATTCTATGTGAGTTTTATGCTCAATGAAACAGAGTTGCCTTGGATAATGATTCAAAATTGGGATGGAAACATTCGGGAGTTGTTTGTTAGTAGCTAGGTTCACTTGACGCCCTTTAAATCTTAGATTTGTTAAGAGTAGTACTACTATAACCGCTTCAATTCTGTGTTTGTTTGAATTTATTCTAACGCGTGTCTATATTACTTTTATTTAAGAAAACGCTGTAAAATTTGATGCAAGTAGGGGTAGACTTTTGTGAAAATTATAAAATGTAATGTCTTGAAATTTTAGCAATTGGTCGTAAAGCGGCAAGCTGGTTTCAGGTCCAACGTTAGATCTATTTTTTGATGAAGAGATTTGAACGTAGATTGATGTTGATTTGGTTTGGATTCGTGCGTTAAGAAGCTTATTGACATCACCCCATGAGAATGGCGAACCTCTATCTCAAGCCAGGAATTCCAGGATTTGTCCTCGCCCTCAGTTTGGACAAAATCTAAAAACCCCAATCCCCGCAATTGTAGATATATGTATGCACGCATTCCACATTTCTGTTTCATTTAATTCAGACGTCATTTAATGAGTCTGCAGGAGTGAAAGACTGAATGATTTGGTATTAGTACCCCGTATTGTATACAGAGATGTGTCAAACACTCGTGTCTTGCACTCCTGGTAGAACGCGGGAGTATCGATGTTGTTTAATTAGCGAGCACTACTGGAGTGCCAAACTTAAATTAGGTACACTATCGAGTACTCTCTCCTTTTGTCGACCTTATCATGTCCACATCACATACGTATTACAGTTATACCTCAAAACAATTCGAGTTCACTCAGGATGGTTCGAACTTTGTGCCAAACTTTTTCGATTTGATAAATTTTCTTCTTGAATCACTGATGTATTTTCTTCAGTGCACTTGAATGACCTACAGGATTTAAATGACGCATGAGTGGTGGAAAAAGTTCACGCCTTTTTAGTTATTCAAGGCAAAGGGACTCGACGTCGTCGAGAAAATAAAATAAAGCGCGTCCTAAGCCTTGTAAACTGTAGGTGGATATCAAAATTATATTCCTTGATGGTCTGTTTTTTGCGATCTCTTGAGTCATGCCGCAGGGTGTTTAGTTGGCATCGGTGAGAGTTATGCCGTTATGTCACTAGTCGGAATACTGGGTCTGTACAGATTTATTGGAAGTTGAATCAAATTCAACACAGAGATCGTTATTTTCCTTTTATTTATTTTGACAAGGTCGGGGAATTGGACAGCTGCGGGTTTTGCAAATGCCTATGCTTTGCACTGCCCGTATATGACCCAACAATTTAAATGGGTTATAGTTAACGTGTTTCCCTTCGTAGCAACTCCATAATCGTATTCATAGAAGATTTTATCGTATTTTTATTATAAGACTTGGTCAAATTCTTAGCGTGATACATCACGACCTGAACGTTTATCTTTTGTAAATGGTTTCTACCTTCTTAACCTTGCCGTCTTGCTCACTCAGTTCAAAGGTAGACTTCTATATTCCCTTCACATTACCTGATCATAGGCATTGTCTACAGTGACAATAGGCGTATATTTGTTACACATCTTCTACCTCTGGTACGTTTAAGTAAATCTTATTGTGATATTGACAGCTTGTCTGCCTCTTATCTTGCGGATGGTGTTCTCCGATCACAGTTAAGGCTCAGCTATCGGGAGGCGCCGGTAAGAGCCCAAAAGAAACCCATCCAATTTGCTTTTCTAGCGTATCTTACTTCTGGTGCAGCACTTAACCATTATGAAACTTTCGTTAGATCTCCTTGCGCAAGAAAAACAAAATTTATTCTTCTAACATCATTCCTCTGATATTTATCTACATGTGTTCACGATCTCAACCTATTTAAGTGTTTTAGCTGAGTCTTATTGCCTTCGCCTTCTCTGTCGCGCGCGGCTCATTATTATGTACTTACACATTCATGCCGCCATGCCATGAACTGAGAAGGGAAGCTGACTTGACTCGCTCGCGAAGATGAAGCTGTTGCCTTTCGAAGGCCGCAGACCCTTGCACCAGTTCACCCGTTCTGCGCCTCGCAGCCGTGCGAGTGGGGTAGACCCCCACCACCCACCTGCTGGCGCTGCAAGAGGGCCTGCCTCTGCTCTGTGATGCCAAAGTAGTGGAATGGGGCAGCCTGCTTGCCGCGAACGGCGAACCTGTGCAGCGGTCTACTTTACACAGCCAAATTATGTCTGTTGGTCTAACATCATTGTATGCAATTCTTAAAGACAATTTATGTTTATGTACTTCATTGTATACCCGAATTATTTTAGTATTACCAAGTCGGTTTTTTGTTAGCATTAATGTGCTGCGTGTTAGCGTTCTTAAATTATAAATTTTCCCTTCAGTGAAGCTTAGCGGAAACAACTTAAACACTTAAGAATATTTTGCGCTCGTAGTTTCTTTGAGTAAATTGATGTTTTAGATGTTCGCTTTCTGAATGTTAGTTTGACATGAAGTATATGTGTGTGTCATATTCAATGAATAATTTAGTAGTTTAGAGATGTAGACATTAACATATCCATCAGATCTGCTCTGTAGCCATATAAAAGACAAGTGTTCTTCTGACTCGAAGACCTAAAATTAAAAGGGCCCTTAAAGGGGAGTGCTCCATTATGTTTGTGGCGGTGATAGTAACAATTAAGTTCAATTAGAAAGGCACTCAACTGCGTTAAGAGGCCGTGCTATATATTGAAAGCCACAACTACCATTTTAATGTCGCATTCCTCCGGCCATCAGTCATTGGTTTTAATCAATTCTGCATCCAGCAGTTACGGATTTTATTGTTTAATTAAGAATTTAACCACTGCAATTATTATATTTGAATTATTACCATTATTGCTATTATTCATTTATTATTATTATGCAATTGTGTGAATAACGGAATTTTGTTTTTCTGTTTGGGAGCTTTTAGCTCATCGTGTACAATTGTTGAGTTTGAGATAGCGCAAGCTACTCACCTTAGTTAATTTGTTTTGCGTCTGACGGCGAAAATGTTTTGCATTTATGTCTCCTCATTGTGTACATTTGTTTGTCTTATCACAAATGATGGCTTAAGTTTTTTTTTATTTTGTATGTTTGTTGATCGAACGATTGATGAATAAACACTTGTCCGGCATAGCCGTGATAATAGCTACAATAACACTCTGCTATTCTTTTCCCACAAATTCCCTTCAGAAACCTAGTATATATCACAAGAACCACTCATATATGCACTCGCGGCAATGTACCTGCAAAAAAGAAAAGACAAAAAATCAAAAACAGTTCACATTGTGTAACGAAACGAATCAGAAACAGTGGCCGATGAACTCGAAACTTTCGATGAAGACACTCTGCCCGTGAGACAAATTCCTTTCAGAACCTAGCACAAGAACCACCCAATAATATGCACTCTCAGCAATGTGCCTGCAAAAGAGAAAATACTAAAAAGCAAGAACAATTCTCCCTGCCATGTCTAACTGAATCAGGCACAGTGGCCGATAAACTCAAAACTTCCGACAAAGAGTCGTTCATCGAAGATCCCCATGCGACTTATTCAAATTTACATTGGTGAGTGCGCCTCCCTCCGTCGAGGCCCAGTCAGTCACGCGTGACATCGCTGGCGCGCGATTTCCGTGACTTGTTGTGGCACGAGCCGTGTCCGTGCATACGTACCTGCCCTCCCCTCCCGCGGCCGGGGCTTGCCCCGGGGCCACGCACGTGATGGGGAGCATTGCGGCGCATTGTGTGCTCGAGGGTCAGGCCCGAAAAATCGTCTCCGTCAGTCTGAAATCGACAGGAATCAGATCTGCGTTTTTATTGATGGGGTCGCAGCCAGGCTGCCGCTCGACGAAACACTTTCCCCTACCCCTTCGCCCTTGGCCCTTCGCAGATCCCTTTCTTATCCTCCCCTCCCATTTTTGCGGGCCAAAAAGTATGCGCCGCGTCGCACGGCGCGCGCGGCCCGCATGGGTAGGTACATTCAGTGGCTCCCCTCCAATCCGCGGCAAACATGTTGCCATTGTGCAGCGACTCTGTGTCACCAGCACGCCGCGCCCCGCCATGGCGGGCCGCCCCGCCCACGACCCTGTCGCGTGACGAGCGAGTCGGTTGAGCTGATTCGCGGCGGCGACGCCAAAAAATGACAAATACCGCGGATCATTATTTGATTGTGACAAAGCGTCGTCATAATAGCAAGAGGTTGTGTCTTCTCCTTCCACGGATGCAAGGGTGGCCAGGGCTGCCTGCCGCGGCGTGCCGCTAGGAGGGGCGCGGCGCGGCCATGCACGAAATGGCTTCCCGCGGCCGCCTTCCCAAGCGTCCCAAGGCCGTCCGGCCCAGCAGGGGTTCCTAACTGGCTGCGATTTCCCTGCAGCGAACGGCCAAAGGGCGACTGAGGCGGCCGGACACGCCATCGGGCGTTTATCATCTTCTCCTTGACGGAGGACAGAGGCGAGGGCGCACAGTGGGCCGGAGGACCGGTGGAGGCGGCCAAACCTCTAGACGTGTTTAGAACTGCAGAGTCGCTAAATGGCACTGCGACCGAACGTGTGACTCCACCAATGGATTGCTCTCCGAACGAGGAATCCATTGGTGGTGTCACACGTTCGGTTCGAGTCCTGTTTAGCGACTCTGGAGTTCAAAACACGTGTAGAATTTCGGCCGCCTGCGCCAGTCGTCTGGCCCACTAAGGGGCGGCATTTGTCGCTTGGCCGCTCGGCGACCTCCGTTCCATGCGTGGAGCTGCTCAGCCAACGGCACGCCTCTCTGCCGTACCGGACTGGCAGTCGCTGCACCTAGACAAGAGGCGCCCGGTTCCGTGGGGCCCGTGGGGCCCTGCTGGTCTGTTCGCCGCAACCCTTTGAGCGACCCAGCGGCCCAGAGCGTCAGAAGCGGTCAGGCGAGGGCTGCCCTTCGCACAATGGCTCACAATATGTGGACCCCTCGCGGCGGGCCCGCCCGACTCGACCATCTCGCTAAACAATTATTCCATCCCGGCGTCCGTTTTGTGTGTATAATTGCTGATCCACGGCCCCGCCCAGTACACTGGCCGGCACAGCGCCCAACAAACACACTGGCCAGCACTCCGCCCAGTACCCCGCTCTGAACCCACCCAGCACCCCGCCCAAGCACCCCGCCCAATCAACCCGCCCATGCACCCTGCCCAAGCCCCCCGCCCAGCACCGCCCCCAAAGCACCCCGCCCAAGCACCCCCCCCAAAGCACCCCCCCCAAAGCACCCCGCCCAAGCACCCCCCCCAAACCACCCCCCCCAAGCACCCCGCCCAAGCACCCCGCCCAAGCACCCCGCCCAAGCACCCCGCCCAAGCACCCCGCCCAAGCACCCCCCCCAAGCACCCCGCCCAAGCACCCCGCCCAAGCCCCCCGCCCAAGCACCCCCCCCAAGCACCCCGCCCAAGCACCCCGCCCAAGCACCCCGCCCAAGCACCCCGCCCAATCAACCCGCCCAAGCCCCCTCCCAAGCACCCCGCCCAGCACCGCGCCCAAGCACCCCGCCCAAGCACCCCGCCCAAGCACCCCCCCCCAATCAACCCGCCCAAGCACCCCCCCCAAGCACCCCGCCCAATAAAACCCCCCCAAGCCCCCGGCCCCAATCAACCCCCCCAAAGCACCCCACCAGCTGCCCCTCGTCCGAGACGAGGTCACTGCCGGCAGACGATAAGAATTAAAAGCAGTCTTTCTCCGCATTGATTCAATATCGCCAATCTGGCGAGTTGGCGGCAGTGTTGTTGCAGGAAATCTGGCTACAGCAAAACACACACTTCGTTTGTTACATGCATCAGAGGAACAAAAGGCAGCGCGAGGGGAATCGCCCCGGCGGTGCCACAATTAAATGAGTAAAAGCTGGCACACTGCCGGCCCGCGCGCCCTGTCCAGCCGGCTTATCCCGGATCGGCGGCAATCCTTTCACGGCCCCCCCTGCACTCTGCGCGCTGCCGACCGCACCGCACGGCACGCCGGCCGCTGGAGTCGAAGCCAATTCATAAATGGGCACGCCTCTTTGATACTGACCCTGGCCTGGCCGTCCCAGGCAGTCCCAGCGGCGGGCCTGGCTCTGGTTGCCGCCGCGCCCGCCGCGCCCGCCACGCCCCAGCACGGGGTAGTGCTCCACTGTCAAACCAAGGGAGAACTCCACACTCTGCGCCCTTACAGAAATGGATCACGTCGTTGTTGGGTGCTAAAAGTGGGTGATAAAGTGTGTCAAAAAAGGGGTTCTCACGGTACCTCCTAGATGCACCCTGAAAGGTGTCTAGCCGCACACACCCTTTTAAAACCCCGAGAAAGGGGTCCAAAAGGGGGGCCCCAGGTGGGTTTTCCCAAAAAAAGTGCCAAAAGTGTGTGCGGGGGATGCTCCGCGTAGGCGAAGCGACGCTGTAGTCGGGATTCGATCCTCGGACCTTTCTGTTATGAGACCTCCACTTACACCTGAGCCATAGCGCTTCTCCTGTCAGAGGGTCCGCGCGCCGCCCATATGCTTCTACAAGTCTGGACTTAGAACGCCAGGCTTGTTTTCCTTGCCGGGCGCGTATCCGAAAACGAAAAAAGAAGAGTATTGCGACATCGCTCTCCCCCCCCCCCTTTCCCTTTTCCCCCGGTCCAGGTCCGCGGTTTCTTTCTCCAGTTACAGAAACAATAATTCGCGCGAATATGAAAATTTACGATAGACCTGAGGCTAGAACCAGATTCTAATTATAGAACGCCATCCTCTCATAGAAACCAGGACTTTGCAGGACTTGGAAAGCCGCGACATCGTGACCGTCACTCCTCTGAATAGCAACTTGGTGGCGTGCATGGAGAGTCATCACCTGCGCCGTTCTGCATCGCGTCAAAAGGGACCCCCTTTTTTGGGCCCCCTTCGCGTGAAGAAAAGGGGTCCACGTCCGTTGGAGGACCCCCCGAGCTTGAGCAGCAAAAAGGGGGTACTGAAAAGGGGCCCCCCGTCTCTTTGAGAGGAGGGAAAAAGGGGTCACGAAGGGGTTAAAATGAACGAAGAGGGTCGCAGTGGGTGATTTTGGTCAAAAGGGGTATGAAAAGGGGCGAAAAAGTGGTCCGCAGTACCACTTATCGACCACCTTCCACAAATCCATTTCTGTAAGGGGCACTGCAGGAAATAACCACAACAAAAGTACACAAATTTCTGGCAAATTTTTTATCAGGTTTTTATTGTACTTTCAAAGTACAACAGGTAGGTTTACGCCAGACCGCGTCTTTTTCGTAACAGGCTTCGCGATGTCTCGCTGCCTTTCCTCCAATCCACGCCTGACGTACCTACCTTGGCCTGCGGCGCTAGCCTGCCCGCGGCAGGCAATGGCTTGTCCGTGCGGTTATTTTTTAACTTGTTGAATTGGGGGTGGGGGGCTCCGCCCCCCCGACCCCCCCACATTTTTTTTTAGAGTTTTTTTTTTCTACAGATAACACGATCTTTACCCTTGTCACTTTTTAACTTGTCGGGGCTGGGGGGGTCCGCCCCCCAGACCCCCTTTCTCCAAGACAGAAATGGTGTATCTGCAGAAATCTCTGTTTTTTTGCCGTTTTTTTTGGTGTTTTTCGTATTAAAACTGGGCACGCCTCTTTGATACTGACCCGGGCCTGGCCGTCCCAGGCAGTCCCAGCGGCGGGCCTGGCTCTGGTTGCCGCCGCGCCGCCGCGCCCGCCACCCCCCACGGGGTAGTGCTCCACTGTCAAACCAAGGGAGAACTCCACACTCTGACTGCAGGAAATAACCACAACAAAGTACACAAATTTCTGGCAATTTTTTAGCAGATGATACGTTCACGTATCAGCGTGCTTGTACTCCGTGCAGAGAGTACCGAGTTTCCGGCTAGCCAGGCAGCAGGTGCCTCGTTGCCTGACTAGCAAGCCTAGAAGAGGCCGAGCGCCTCGCTGGAAAGGCAGCGGCTGGCTGGCCTGCCTAGAAGATTATGAGCGGAGGGCCCGCAGCGTGCCGCGCCGTCGCGCCGCACCGTTCCGCCCCCCACCATGAATCGGGGCGGCTGCGGGGCTGGGGTTTTGCGCGCTCGGCGTAAAACCTCGACACCCAGTTATCTAGTACTCATGAAGTGCGTCCCTCGCTTGCGCGTCGTCATGAGACGCTGCTAGCACGCATCGCGTAGCTGCCCCCCTCGCCCATTCCCCTGCCGAG